GTAGATATGTGGGGGCGTGTTAGAACGAGCCGTTTTAGGGGGGCGTGGCAGAGTCTTAACTTTGATAAAGAATATCTCTTTGGTTTTGAGACTTTAGTCTTTGCAACTTCAGGGATCTTATTTATCAGCTTGTCAGCTTGTAACACTCCAAAGAGAAAGGAAAACTTGAAATCGCATCATATGACCCCTTTAAGAGGTTCTGCCTCTCCATTTTATCCGTTGTAGGATCGGTTACACTTTATGTGAAGGTGTCCTTGTTACAGTGTAATTATACATTTAAGTACTGAGTAATATTATTTAACTACTTACTATGGTTAGGATTAGGGATACTTGCATGTAATTATGCATAATTTATTGTTATTGCAATAGTAAGTACATGTAACATGTGTAACAATAAAGTGTTACCGTAGGATCTTTTAGAAACACAGATGTCTGATAACAGTGGATTATGTGTTTGAAGGTGCTGCATCATCACATCATGTCGGTAGAGAAGCTTCCATTAACTGCATCCGGTTGTCCTCTCCTGATCCGCTGTAAAACCTTCCAGCTGCTTCATCTGCTGTTCCAAAGAGAGAGAGATTGTCAGGATGTCTATCCGTCACTTCTGCGTCTGTTTCAACCAGGTGCACAAACCACACACACACACACGTTTGTTTCGCTATCTTTTATTGCATAGACTTCCATTGATTTTATATCAGGTTAATGATATTTTCTATCACCTAACCCAACCCCTACCCCTAAACGTACCCGTCACAGAAACATATGCAGAACACTAGATTTAAATAAAAACATCTTTGGCTGATTTGTAAGCCTTTTTAACTAGTGAGGACTAGTGGGTTGTCAAAGTATTTCACAATATAAGTGAGGACATTTGGTCCTCACAAATATATATATATATATATATATATATATATATATATATATATATATATGGTATGTTGCATTCAAATGAGCTACATGTTTAGAACTTATGAGAATTATTTTTTGTTTTGAGTAGATAACCAACAGAAAATCAAATGTATGCATTTATGTATAAAACACATAAAAACACATAAAACACATGCACATGATAGTGTTAATTAAGTATTATTTATGTAATATTATAGTATTTTTTATAAATGAGCTTTTAAATATATTTTCAGGTTTCATTTTAATTTTTGTTTAAGTTTTGGTCATTTTTATGTGCTTTTGTCATTTTTATTCATTTTTTATTATTACTTAATTAATATTTTTATATAGCTTTAATTTCATTTTTTTTATTTAAGGTTTAGTTTTAGTCATTTGTGTACTTCAACTTAAACATATTTTATTTCAGTTAGTTGCCAAGGGAACATTTATAATTTTCATTTATGTTTTTAAGTACCTTTTCATCTGATATTTATATTTTATTTAATAAAATATAAGCAAGCAACACTTTTGTTTCAAAATCATTCTTATTTAGTGTCCAGTCCAGTAATCTTCCAGTTCTGTTTATTTCATACTGAAAAATTCAGTTATGTCTTGCAGGCTGACCCTAGTGCACACATGTTTGCTCTTAGATTCTAACTGTGCTTTTGTGTCATTTCAGTCAAAGAAGAGGAGCTGTATGCCTTTCTCTATAATCCACACCAAAATGAAGAGGACAGGAGACAGGGTTGGGAATTCATCAATGTGGCAAACGACTTCAGCAGGATGGGTCTCTCCAATGATTATTGGGAAATCAGCCACCTCAACAAAGACTACGAGGTACCATCTTCCTATTACTTGACGACCTAGTAATCATGCTTCCTGTTTAGGACCATTTCACAATAATCAGCCTAACTCTTTTATCTACTGACCACAATGATAAATATGGTTTAGGTACAAACAGTTTCAACCAAACACATGTATACACTGCCATTTGGGGTAAATTATGTTTTTCTTTCAAGAAATTAATACTTTTATTCAGCAAGACTGCATTAATTTGATTAAAAGTGACCATAAAGAAATTTATAATTTTGCCAAAATTTCTACTGTTTTTTTTAAATAAATGCTGTTCTTCAAACTTCCTATTCATCAAAGAATCCTGAAAAAAATGTTTCCACAAAAATATTAAGCAGCACAACTGTTTTCAACATTCAAAACTTTAATTATTTTAAATTGCAACAATACATCAGAGTCTTACTGTTATTTTTGATCAAAGAAATGCAGAAAATATCGTCTTGAAGTTTTGAACGGTAGTATTAAAGATGATGGATCTCATGGATCTTTCAATTTTTCTCTCTCTCTCTTTCACACAGATCTGTAGCACTTATCCATCTATCCTAGGACTCCCTAAAAATGTCAGTGTTGCTACGGTAACGGGCAGCGCAAAGTTTAGGAGCCGCGGGCGATTGCCTGTTCTGTCTTACTTTCACAAAGACACAAAGGTATACAAGCACATGCACATAATAGCTCTGTTCCACAACCAATTGAGCTCCCTACCTAGACAGCATTTTAAGGCACCATAGGCAAACTCCTGACACGCAGGCTGTTTCAGACGGTAGATATCATAATTATGCTGCCTTTTAAAACATTTGGCCATATTCTAAGGTAACATTGCATGTATCCTTCACAGATAACAGAAATACACTACAACAAACTGATCACATTCATCAAAGATAGCTGACAGAGTTGAGAGAAAATCTAATTGTAATATATATAATACATACATATTTTATTCAATGCTGCAAAGTATTGAATAAATATAGTCGAACCAAATTAATAAATTAAATTAATAATTTAAAAGTAGATTAAACCTAGAGACTATTAATCGTGTTTTTACAGTTTGGGGACTTCATAGAAATGCATCAGTAGGTTTAAACAGGAATGGCAAGAAGTTGTGCCACTAACAACATCATTATCTGTTCTTTGCATTTTGTGGTACTGTCTTGCAGGCTGCGATCTGTCGCTGCAGTCAGCCTTTGTCGGGTTTGACTTCTCGCTGTGTGGAAGACGAGCAGATGCTTCAGGCCATCAGCCAAGCGAACCCCAACTGCCCTTTTATATATGTAGTGGACACACGGCCTAAGGTGTGACCTTTAACCTTAACCTTTCTTTATACATAAGAGAACAGGTCCAGGATCAGACTTGTAAATGTTTAACTTTAAACTTTCAACCTCAGCTGCCCTGGCATATATGTAAGAGACACATAAGTAAATGTGTAATCTTTCACCCTCTGACACAAAGTACTCTTCTATTTATATGGTCAACTAACAATCAAGGAATCTGACTAGTTAACCATTAAATTATAGTGTTTCCCTGTACCTGTCAGAGCCATTATGTGCAATTTTTGTATCTATTGCAAATATCGAATATGCTGTTTTATTTATTGTTGACCATATCATGTTTCACCAGTATAACTGGGGAAACAACATTTCATTCCTTTCCCTGTTATTTAGGAGGCTATAAACCTTAACCTGACCCTCTGGAGCTATGTGTGCATATATTTGTACATGTCTTTGTCTTTGTCAGTTGAACGCAATGGCGAACCGCGCAGCTGGTAAAGGCTATGAGAATGAGGACAACTACTCCAATATCAGGTTCCAATTCCAAGGAATCGAAAACATCCACGTCATGAGAAACAGCCTACAAAAATTGCTGGAGGGTGAGAGAACACACTTTCTTATTAGTACTGGTATATGCAGTAGCTGGTTAAGTTTATGTTTGTAAGTTGCTCAGTTGAGTGTTGATTGTGCCTTTTAAATCAGTAGTAGATAAAATGATGGTTGGTTGAACCTTTGTTCTTTCAGTGTGCTCTGTGAAGTCTCCTTCCATGAGTGACTATCTGACAGGTCTGGAAAACTCTGGCTGGCTGAGGCACATCAAATCTGTGATGGATGCAGGCGTGTTCCTCGCCAAGGTACTGACCTCCATGCTATTACTGCATAGAGAGACACACCAACACATGTATATTAACAATGATATATTCAGTCATTTTGTTTGCGTTCTAGGCTGTCTGTGAAGAGAGGGCAAGTGTGTTAGTGCATTGTTCTGATGGTTGGGACAGAACGGCTCAGGTGTGCTCTTTGTCTTGCATACTGCTGGACCCATACTACAGAACCATTAAAGGCCTCATGGTAATGACCCAGTATCCTATAACGTATAACCTCTACCCTTAACACAGGACTCCTATGAACTTGAAGTGTACACTCGCATGTAATCACACTGTTGGGCAGGTCATGGCTTTGCAAATTAAGTCACCAACTATTCCTGTGTAACTTAATATACACCATCATTCAAAAGTTTTAACATAATTTGTTATGGCAAAGCTGAATTTTCAGTGCTTTGGTGCTTAAGAACATTTTTTATTATCATCAATGTTAAAAACAGTTGTGGTCCTTAATATTTTTGAATAAAAATATGAATAAAAAGTTCAAACGAACAGCATTTATTTGATATAAAAAATATTTTGTAACAACATAAGTCTTCACTGTCACTTTTGACCAATTTAATGCATCTTTGCATTAAATACCTAAAAGTATTAATTTCGTTTGACTCCAAACTTTTGAAAATTAAAATGTGAAACACCTAGACTTACTAAAATATTGTAAAATAATATATATTTTTTTATGTACAGGTTTTAATAGAAAAGGAGTGGATCTCTATTGGTCATAAATTCAGTCACAGGTATAAACCTTATCACAGCTTTTAAAAACGGCAAATATATAAATATTATTTATCAATAGTATTAAAGGGATAGTTCACCCAAAAATGAAAATTACTCCATGATTTACTCACCCTAAAGCAATCCTAGGTGCATATAACTTTCTGCTTTCAGAAGAATACAATAGGAGTTATATAAAAAAAAATAATAAAGGCCTTCTGAAGCGAAGCGATGCGTTTGTGTAAGAGAAATATCCATATTTAAAACTTTATAAACCGTAATCTTTAGCTTCCGCTAACTGTCGTATGTGTGATCACGAGAGAGTGGCGTTCCATGACGTGAGGAGACTGGTTTTCCTTTGCTGTAAACAAAACCTGGTTCTCATGAGGCTAGGAGAGATAACGCTACGCCTACATCCTATTTCATCCGCTGAAACGCCACTCTCTCGTGAATTCCCCCGGAGCCGTGTGGAGTACTCAACAGCCATTCACTGCCATTATAAAGCTTGGAAGAGCTAGGAGATTTTTTTTTATAGAACTCCTTTTGTATTCTTCATATACACCTAGGATGGCTTGAGGGTGAGTAAATCATGGGGTAATTTTCATTTTTGAGTGAACTATCCCTTTAATGATAAATGTTTTAATATTAATATTTTCAATATTAACACAATATTGCTAAAACATTACAATTACCTTTTGTATACTATAAAAATGCTAACTTTATTAGTAGTAATCCCTTAATCGTAAGCCATTTTAATCACTACCAAGTCTGTTCATGTTCGTTTGTATATATGTGTGTGCTCTAGGTGTGGCCATCTGGACACCGACCCCAAGGAAGTGTCTCCGGTCTTCACCCAATTCCTGGAGTGTGTGTGGCAGCTGTCAGAACAGTTCCCTTGTGTGTTTGAGTTCAATGAACGTTACCTAATAGAAATACACAATCAAGTCTATGCCTGCCAGTATGGAAACTTCATCGGCAACTGCCAGAAAGAGAGGCTGGAAATGAGGTGAGATTAGAATGCACATACAAACACATTCATGTATGTACAATAATGATACACTCTGCGTTGAATGTGTATGCTTCGAAATTAAAGCAAATATTCTTTATTATAAGTAAAATCAAACATACTGTTTGTTTGCTTGATTCCAAGTCTTGAATGATTTTAAAATGCTTTGCTTCACTGTTCTGTGTGGGATTTTAGGTTGCATGAAAAGACGTTTTCATTGTGGCCACATCTTTTGAAGAACCAGCATCTGTATCGAAACCCTTTGTACCGGCGTTCATTAGAGTGCACAGTTCTCAGACCCAGCACTTTACCACTGCACTTCAAGTATGGATACACTCTTAAACATATGAGGCTGTGCCGCTGCAGATTAAAATTAAAAGATGACACTGTGGTGTAATAATCTTTTAAAATTCTTTTGTGAGACCAAATTAATGTGATTTGTGTCTAAAGTAATTTGATTTGTCTGGTGTTTACTAAATAGTTTTGCACCAAATTTGTATTTGTATATGCGTTTCCCAGGTTCTGGTGTGGGATGTATAATTACTATGACGGAGGCATGCACCCAAAACAGTCTGTTCTAGACCAGCTGCTGTCCCTCACACAGAAGCAGGTAGAAGGAGAGAGAACCATGACTGAATTACAGAGAGTAAGAGGGGTTATGGGAGTGGTAGATTTTGTCAGGGTGGAGAGGTATTTGACTGACATGATGCTGTCTCCATCTCATCCATTTACAGCAGCTGGCTGTTGCAGATGGAGTTCTCCCTGATCCATCTGGACCAATCGACACACCTGCGGAACAGGACAGTCCACGTGAGGTGACTCCCACCACTCCTGTTGACCAATCAAATGGAAGCTGCGCTCCTTTGATTAATGGAGACGCAGAGGAGGCGGGTCCAGGAGCTGAAAAGTGCACTGAGAAAGAAGGGGCGGAGCCAGCAGCCACCGAACACGATCTGACCTCCTCTAAGGACAAACCTGTTTCTGTGGAAACCGAACATTCCAAAGAGGAGGTACAAGAATCCTCTTGAGTCTCCATAGTTACAGAACAGACATTTTGACTGAGACCCCAAAGAACAAATGTCCGGATTTTTGAAAAGATGCATGCAGTACTGTGTCCACAACTGAAGCTACTGTAATGCAAAAAAAACATTCAAATTGCAGCGTTCTGCCACACACAAGTTTGTGATTTTTTTTATTTTTTATATCGTTGTTTATTAGATTTTTCGAGCACTGGGTGGATTCTTGTGCCCTGTTATATCTGTTCTGAACAGTCCTGAAATGTTCTGTTTGTTTTTGTGGACTTCAGTGTGTTTGTTGGCCTTCAGACCATGAGGATTGAAGCTATATGCTTTGATCGAAGGCAGTCAGAATCATCTACATTTTGTTTAAATGCCGCTCTGATCAAATTTGGCCTCATTTCATTGTACAGTAGACTGTTTTTTAATGTCTTTGTTTTAGTAATACTTTCCGTATTATATGTGTAGTACATTTGAAAACCAGACTCTGATACTGATTTATTCAGTCACACAAGCAGCTGATGTGAAATTCAGGTTGATAAAGGCAACACATTGTTAAAAAATGGATCAAATTGGTTATCAGTGTTTTTTGCACAAAGGGCTTAGTATTAGTTTTGTGGTGTTCTTCATTGCAAATGCGGTTCGTTTTGCATGAAAAGCAACACCGCTGAAATGCTGCTTATTGATTGCAATAGGATGTCACATTGTTTGAGCCAAGCTCTAATGCCAAACAAATAATTTGATGCACATAAAAAATATCTGAGGAATATTGCTTATGTACTTTCGACCAAGCCTTTTTTGAATTGCATATAGTTTTGCAAAGCAACATTGTTTTTATTTTGTCTACTGGATGTTTATTGCTAATGGATGTGGAAACGTTTTCATAGCTTGAGTTCTAATAGTCAACTTAGAACCCTGGCTACTATGGAGCTCCAGACAAAGCTTTTATTATTATGTGAAATACAAAACCGATGTTTAAAAATGCTTTCTTTATTGAGAAGCATTTGTTTACATTATTATTTTTTTGATTGAATTAGAAAAAATATTTTCTATTGATTAAATGTACAGCAATAGTCAAAAGGGAATTTTGAAATAAGCAATGAGAGGGATACCACTGAAAATGACAGAACGTGGTTACAATATTCATCTATTGCTTTTAAAACTGAGAAGAGTTTTGCTGTGTGTAATAATCATGTCAGCTCATTTTATACACGCTTATTTTGATCATTGCACTGTTTTGTACCTCTTTTGTACCATATATTAAATTCGAATTTGTTTTCTTTGAAAAATAAATATAGATTTTAGTAGAAAAAAAAGCGCGTTATGTTATGCGATTATATAATTTGCATCATGTTTGTGGACTACACTAAGCACACTCAGATAAAACGGGTATGACTGAGTCCAGTGGGCGGTGTGTGCGCATTCAGCGCCCCCTCTGGCCGCCCGCCGAACAGTTTCCGCTGTTTACTGCGCGTCAGTATTTGGCTTATTAGCTCGGTGAGTGGCCTTGAGGCGGAAACACACTTAAAATATCTACTATATGCTTATGTTGTATATGTGTAGTAGTTTATACCTTAAAAATGCGTGTTTGTTTGACAGCAGGTCAGAAAGAGCGAGTCAAACTCGGCGTTGTTTTCAGATAACGTTACTGGAGTTAAATCCACCGAGCTCCCAAGAGCCGGGGAATATATTTCCTCCCGAATGGGATCAGTATTACTCTCAGCTGAGTTTATTCGCATATAAAAGCATTTAAAAATCTAGATCTGCTTGTATTTATGAGGTTAATCTCGTTTGCTAGCCGGCTAACTGACCGTGGATGCTTGCTAGTAACTTCGTCGTCGTTAAAGCTAATGCAGATAATAAATGAGGTTCATGACAAAGCGTTCTAATATTTTAAAGCTTGCTTAAACGCTGTTAAGCTATTACTATAATATAATCACAATCTACTCATAAATAACAATAATATCCCAATATAAGGGTTTGTTGTTATGCAAAACTGAACTGCATGCAACACTTAACGTAACGTAAGTGAAGGCAGTTCATCCTGAATACTCAAGGCTCAAACCCTAGTGAGCTGTACCTAGACAGCATTTTTGGGCATTGTCTAGGTAGGCAGCTCACTATTTTGCTGTTATTTTCAACAGTCATACAGAGGCACTCATCTGTGCATAAACTTTTTTTTTCTCTGCAGTTCTCCTCTATGCTCCAGCTGCGGCCGGTGGAGGAGGATGAATCAGCTGCTGAGAGTCTGGAGCTGAACCGAGCTGTGGCTGACAATGACCATTTCCTGCTGGCCGAGCTACTTTCACAGGAACGTTACAGGAAGTGCATTAATCAGCAGAGCGGTTGGGGGATCCCAGGTACCCCGTTACGTATGGCTGCATCAAAAGGTACGTGTGTCACCCTTCCATGCACTCTCTGATGTCACATCTGAGTTTGTTGTCCACCACGACCACAACGCAGCAATTATTTGCCCTGTAGGTCACCTGAGGTGCCTGCAGTTGCTCCTGGCCCATGGGGCAGAGGTAGACAGACTTGATGTTAAAGCCCAGACCCCTCTTTTCACTGCTGTGTGTGGGCGTTACCTGAGCTGTGTGCTCGCACTTCTCCGTGCCGGAGCTAATCCGAATGGAAGTCACCTGAACAACAGCTCGCCAGTGCTCACTGCCGCCCGAGAGGGCGACCCGGAGATCCTCCGCCAGCTGCTTCAGCACGGGGCGGAGGTCAATGCCAGGTCAAAGGTGACGCTGTGGGCCTCAGGGGTTGCTGTGTGCAGCGGGCCGCTTTACCTGTCGGCCATATATGGACACCTGGATTGCTTCAAAATGTTGCTGTTATATGGGGCAGATCCGAACTATAACAGTCCGGAAGAGAAAGTGATCGGCAGGGCCACGCAGCAGAAGACAGTCCTGGAATTGTGTTTGAGACACGGCTGTGGAGTCGAATACATTCAACTGCTCATTGACTTTGGGGCAAACGTCTACCTGCCGACCCTCATTATAGAAAAGAGCACCAAACAGAACGAAGCTCTTGAGCTGTTGCTGAGAGAGCGAGGTGAGAGAAGTTTAAGCAGTATTGTAGCATTGTTTTTTTTTTTTAATTGCCATTTGGTCTTGTATGGAATAAAAAAAAAAAAGTTTGTTAAACTTAAACAAAAATTATACGTTTTGCCTTGGCAACTAACTGAAATACATTTAAGTTGAAGTACTAAAATTACTAAAACTAAAACTTAAATGAAAATAAATTAAAGCTAAATAAGATATTTTAAAAAAAGAAAAACTTATAAAAATGACAAAAGCACATAAAATGTTAAATTAAGGTTAATTTTAAATTAATTCAAAATGAACAAATACTGTTAGTATATAAATAATAATAAATTAACACTGATTATCATGTGATCTTTTTTGTTGTTTTAATTCTCCTTTTTTTTTTTTTTTACTACAGGGTGTCCGAAGACTCTTGCATCTCAGTGTAGATTGGCCATTCGTAGACACCTGATACAGGTGAACAAGATTCAGTCATTGAACTCTCTGGAGATTCCACCCAGGCTCATCGACTATCTCAAACACAACCCTATGAACAGTGCATTGGTTTACTGACAAAACAGAGTACACTCCACTGTGCCTTTACTAAAGGACAGACTCAATCACTCACACACGCCTGGACAGGTAGACCATACAGACATCAGAGGGAGTGGAAACAGACAGAAGATCTGGACTAATGACATGGACTCACTCGTATGCAATCTCACAGACGGACCGATACACTGCTAACAACCCTGGTTTACATATATGGAGTGTGTTAAACATCCTCATAAATGAATTTGCTTTAATGTCCTTCAAATTCAAAAGACTGTGTAATATTACCAGAAGTGTTGTTGTAAATTCTCTTGAACTATGCATTGTCGTACAGTCTTTTCTGCCTTTTCAAGATCATGTGGAAGTTTTCATTTCTCATGCTAAATTCAACAATGATATTTACAGAAGCATTAGTGTTTTGTTTATCAATAGCAGCTTGAAGGATGTAAAAAATGTTGGTAAATGGCTTATTAATCTTAATATGATGTATAAAATCCATTGTGATGTACTTGTTTAGAGCAGATGGACACTTCCAACAGATGTCATGTAACCTCCATTGTGCAGGTAGCATGTAATGGAGATCATTCTGTTCCTGTGAGGTTAAAGACTTCAAAATGAACATCAGTTCCAGAGCAAGTCCTCAGAAGGATTTATAGCATAGGTATTGAGGTATCTTGCTTGAGCATTAAAAAGTACAACAGTCTTTGCTAAATGGGATATACAATACATATGCAGGTGTATTCTGAAAATATTCTAGTATGGATGACATCTGGCTTGTTAATTGTTCATAAAATTGAACTGCTGAACATCAGAATGTTTATCAGTGTTGTTTCATCTATATTTACATTTATGGGGTAATTTGAGGTGCCAGTTTCCATATAGAGATTTTTTTCCACTTCATAAAATAATACTATTGCACTGATGTGGAAAACTCAAAGTGCTAACATTTAGCTGAAAGGAGCTGAGATACACAAAAACATACCAAATACAGACTAGACCGGTGTGAAGTTATTCTTTTTATTTATATGCTGTTATAGTATTCATTCATATTTTGAATTCGCATTTATGTCTATTTTCAGTTTTCATTTTAATTAGTTTACTTCTAGTAGTTATGTTTGGTGCTTTTGTCATTATTTTTTAAACATTTCTATTTTGCTTCTTATTTCAGTTTCGGTATGTTTTTCATGTAATTTATTTCAATGAGCAAAAATATTTCTCAATAACAACACTGCAACAACACAAACTTTTTGATGCCAAGGACCCCCATGCCTTTCTAAAATAAAAAGGCAGCAAAATGAAATAATTGGCTTTTATATTGTCATTGTACTTTTCACAATAAATATAGTTCAAATACAGTTTTATTTTGGTGGCGAAGAGTAACCTAACACATTAAATTTGACATACCCTAAAACACGTTTAGTAAAATCATATTCCCTCTCAAACTTTCTGTGGACCCCCAAGGCCTGTTGCATCTTAATCACCCGATCACAGTTGAACCAGAGGTGTGTTGCAGCAAAACTCAAGGACAAGGTATTTATAATGTTAATTACTAA